CTTAGTGAGCAAGTTTCACGCCGCGACATAGCGATTGCAACAAACTCAAATCTGATGATCGTGACTTCTTCGTGATCGCGAAAATCGCGAATCATTTCGCGAGAATCTTAGTAATCCTCTTACGTGTCCACGCCGTGACTTTTTATCGGGAGTCCTGCCGTGAGTTCATCGTGAGAGTTGACCTGGGTAGATCGCGGATATTTCGCTGACGTTATATAGGATATTTTCTTACTTTACAGTAAATAACAACTACTATTTTCCTATTGACTTCACATTAATTTTGTCGAGCAGGAAAAGGCATTTAATCGGTATACTATTTTATAACACGCATTGCTCAACGTGATCAATAACGTGAAGCAACACGTGTTCGACTCATTTGAGGGAGAACCGGTAAAAACAATGATTTATTTACGTTGTTTGTTATAGTATTAGATTCGATGTTTTTAGTATGGAATTGTGAAAGTTGAATCAATGCCCTTACTTAGGATAAGTCTTTCTTGTTCAATCGAGGATGTTCATCTGAAGTGAGTGAAAAACGATTCAGCTTATTCAGAAAAGGAAAAACAATCCAAAAATGTTGTTGGTAATGTGGAGTTGTTTATCAATTGCTCTTCTTATTTGAATTGATGATTGTGTCCTGGAATACGTCCACCTCATGTATCGCCGTGCTTATCGATCGGAGCTGTCGCTTGGACACTGGTTTTGTCTGTATCTGTTGGACTCGAGTCTTCTTTACCGTGCCCACTACCAATAATGTCTGTTGAACCCATTGAAGGTCCACCAATGGTTAACTTATTAGCATTACGTTCCGGCGAACAGTATACGACACCCAACAGCATACAACTAGCGCTTACACAACGGATTCGATGACGATTGTCCGAAAGGAAACATTTTCGATTTCATTTTGTCGATAAACTATTATTGCGTCCGCTATCCGAACCGACACAAAACATGAAAATGCGTGTAAACTGTAAGAAGATTTGCACCATGTTCGGATGCTAATCATGTTTCTTCTGTATGAATCAGCAATGCGGAGAAAGATGTAGCTATCAAACGATTGTTTTTCATGCCAACCATAGGGTTAGGGTCTCATCTGTCACCGATTGTTGCCACAATAGAGAACGACGATTTCCAACTGCGAACTTCCATTGTTGTAGAGCGTTCATTCGCAGGTAAAACGATAGGTGGCTATAGCTATCCAATTATTTCTTTCTGTCTTTCATCTGCCGAAAATTGTTGGGAGTAGCCCACAACATGAACCTCACATTCCGTCGTCCGAGATGAGGTTCGAGTGCAGCCTTATCTAGCTCTCCGTCGGGCTGTGAAAAATATGTTTCATCAATGTTGGTAAAATAGATCACGCAAACGATCTTCTGGGAACGGATGAGATAATGGTCTTGTACTAGACATTGCCAAAAGCTATGAGTACCGTCCGGTGTTCCATGTGAGATTTTATGAACTGTTCGTTGAAGCCTCATATAGCTAGTCCTTGGATACTTTTTCCAGTGATGGTTCACAGCAACTCGTAAATCTACATTTCTCAGCTTGAGAATTATTTTCGATTGCTTTTCATTCGTTTGCAACTGTGTGAATCTCTTGACCTAGGAGAATTCGAACTATCTCCTCTATGTGGCCTAATCGCGCATATTTCTTGTTGATGACTGTCTGCGTACATCGACATCATACACTTGGAGTATTTTCAGAGTCTTGATCTGATCTAACGTCTGTCAAATCAAATCGGAGAGTTCTATTGCAAGACTCTATTTTATTCAGACAAACGCTCATTCTTTCACGAGTTGCATCACTCGTATCAGGGTGCACACTTTGGACGGAGATACCACTTGATTATCGCTTGTAGGGTCAGGTTTCAGTTTCTTCATTTCATACAAAAATTTCAAGTAGATATTAATAGATGATGGTAGGACATGTAATTCCGTGGTTTCACAGCGGAGTGTCTGCAACATCAATGGAGAATTCTTTGAGCATAATTCGTACAGTTCCATCAATCTTCTTCCATCCATTTCTTGACATATCGGTATCATCTGACTCAAGTGTTTGTCGAGCAGAAAATTCGGAACATGTACTGCACTCCATTGATGTATATCTTTAGGATACGAATAGACAATAATCTGCTCCCTAGAATGTAAATCATAGCAGTCATCATTTTCTAGCAAAGAAACGAAGCACCCCCAGTGACTCGTACTTCTCTTTTGGTTCTTCTGTTAGATAGGATTTCGCTGGTTTAGAAGAAACATTCTTCTTGTCGATTTGATTTTGATAAAACTGTGATCGAAGCTGCTGATAAGCGGTTTGAAAATCCATTTTAATGAAATCAACATACATTCGACCAGATATTGTAAATGCCAACCATCCTTGTGGCTTGAAACCATCCTGTACTTTCAATGGGATCAAGAGACGTCGCTTTTCGAATGCATACTGTGCTTCACTTTGGCAATAAGGACTATGCGAATAAGTATCACTCATACAAATGAGAACACAACGTGATTGTTCAATAGCATTAGCAATCGCTTCCATGATAATTCCATGCATACGTTCAAGATCAATCCAAACGCGATAATTATCATTGATAAGAGATTTATGAATTTGATGGCAAATATCCTTATCTTTGTGCGCATAGGAAATCATCATATCATATTGATATTTTGATTCTGTTTTCTCATCTTTCGAAGATAATCTCCATAGAATTCCATCAGCAATATTTTGAAAATCCATCAACTTCGACGATTCGATGATTACTCGTAAGTGATCAAGAAAATCATGATTATTTTCCAGTAGTCTTTTGCCGTCGTTGTGAAAAGTCAATGATATGAGAATTTTCAATGCATGTAATTGAATTTTAGTTTCATGAAATTGCGATTCCATTGCACAACGAAGAAGAAGGGATAAGCCATCTGGTCCCTTCACTAGTTCGTCTTTAATTCGATCATGTTGTGTTAATACTATCAGTCAAATAAACGTTCTCTTAGGTTTGCATCTCTAAAAACTTACTTTTCAAACTGAGAAGTAGGTTTTCTAGACGTTGTCTCAATCCAAAACTATCAATAGATTTCCTCATGTCACCCATAAAAACAGTGATGATTCGGTCTGGATCAGGCAAATGTTTCATGTCATTCTCACTAAGAAGAGCAGCCAATTCTCGATAAGCATGGAATTGTGTTTTATCATACTTGATCTCGGTCAGCTTGAGCAGAGTCGGTATCATCTGATGCTCTTTCAATTGATTCCGAAGTTCGGGTAAAAACGTCATGGTATAAATATAAAGCGTTGCGTAACAAAATAATTGATGGACTCGTTTTTCATGTTGATCCAATGATGAAGCTCGAGTGAGAAGTGACCATAATTGTTTGTTTTGAATAATGGTAAGCATTGAATTGAGGATCTTCTGGTGCTGTTGATTGTACGCAGGAAGAAGATGCTGGTTGGCACATCTTTGACAAAGTAAAATCAATTGAGAAATACAATAGATCATCGGCTCTTTCCGATTCTCAATCGACGGTACAACATGTTCCAAGATGAACGATGAACCATTCAATACTTCTTGCACTATTGAGGAGATGATTTCTTCTTGAAGATGACCTCGATAGGAAGTGACATATTTTGGGCAAGTTATCAGAAGAAACTGTTGGTAATGGGTCAATCGATTTTCCGTTGGCGACAGTTGAAGAAAGACGTGTCGATATTCCACTGATTTGATTGAGCCAACGACTGACATTATCAGTCTATTCAGAATAGAATCATCTTGAATAGATAAGCGATCGTCTTGTATCTTTCGATAGACATCAATCATATTCTCAATCCCATCCACTAAATTGTCATCGGAAGTTGCAGTGAGATTCTTCAACGAAATAATTAAACAGTCACAGAGATTGGAGTTTACGAAGAGCTGTTGAGCATAATGGAGATTTCTCTCCTCAATACGATTTACTAGTTGAGCAAATAGTTCACTAATGCTATATGCTAGTTCATAATCAGCCACAGAATGTTCAAGAGTATGAGTAAATCTATTACGCAGATGGACGAAGAATGGATGATCAATGGCATGAACACATTTCATATTTCTCATCGGAATGAATTCATTCACAACTCCACGAAGATATACATCGTCAACATCGGCCAGCGCTTCACTCATGATCTCACTAATCATCGAAGCAGTGCCTCAAATTCGTCTCATCATTTTCAGCCACTTGATCCAGTTTCAATAACATTTTTGACTAGGCTAGTATTCCAAACAACGAAGGTGTTTGATGACTTGAGAAAAGGCAGTTGAAACAGGAATTACTAACCTCTTTCGAATCGATGGTCGTTATGTTTTAAATAAGTTACACTTGGAGTGCCTAGCGACGAACATCATACTTTTTCTTCTCTCTCAGAGTGTGCTCGGCTCATAAGACTATTTTCTCTGTTCTTCTTTACTTCCCCAAGAACAAAAAACTCTTGCAGTTGTGTTCGTTATATGTCGGCTGCTCTCCTTCTCTAACGCATCGTGCACCGGGAAATTGCTCTACTTCAAACAATTCTTCTCGCGCTTTCCTCTTGCTCATTCACCTGAGATTGATCGAAAGGAATCGAAAGATTTTGAAAGAACTCGTCTATCAAGAACAAAGCAGATAAATGGAGATTGTCTGAAGAGCCTGTGTAGTGTCAAACATATATCCAATGAAAGAAATAGTGATCATTTTTCGCAAATTATTGGACGAATTCACAAGATAGCCAGATGAGTACTTATCCTTTACTCAGAATCCTTTCCTCCAACAACCATCTATCTTTGTTTTTCTAGCACTAATATGCGATGTCATGCCATTTTTGTCTAGATACCTGGACGAAACAATCTCATCCTTCGAGTGTCTTGCGTATCCACTACAAAAGCGCTATGCCAGAGATGGCAGAGATGGGCAACTCCGATCCGGAGTTGGAGTTAACGCCGGAGTTGACGAATTTTTGATCTAGAGTTGGAGTTGGAGTTGGAGTTGAGCTTTCCAATTCTACCCCGGAGTTGGAGTGGAGTTGGATTAGAAATTTGAGATTTGCTTTGGAGTTGGAGTGGATTTGTGTTTCGTTCCGTTCTGCCTACTCCGATTCAACTCCGATAGATTTCGTTCGTCGGACACTTTTCCAGGCGAAAAGACGTCAGCGATGATTCGACAATAATGTATGTAAGTGTTAATGTTGAACTGAAGTGTTCGCACTGGAATGCATTGTAATCTTTCGATCACTGTTTCATTGGGAGAGAGAACCCGAGAAAGAGCGAAGAATAAAACATGAAAAAACTGTTAAGAAAGCCGTCTGTTGTCAAACATTAGGCTAATATATGAATTTCATCACCAACAAAAATGAAAAATATACCTTTTCTGTGCGCTGAAATCAGATCTGACATGGTGAGATTCGGAATTGGAGTTGTAGTCAGAACGAAGTTGGATTGGGAACTAAAAAACGGATTTGGAGTTGGATCGGATTTGTTGAAAGGAGGTTGGAGTTGGAGTTGGATTGGCTTTTCGAAAACAGCGTTAGAGTTGCGGTGGAGTTGGAGTTGTCTTTTTTTTCTGGAATTGGAGTTGGAGTAGAGCTGGAGTGGCACATGGCCGGAGTTGCCCATCTCTGCCAGATGCATTTGTTTAGCATCTGATAAACATGTGATCGCAGTTATCATTGCTGATGTTTTCCAACACAAGTCTTCCGGTATTGCATCAGACAACAGCAAACCCTCGTGATGGCTTAGTGATTCATCGATAAACAATGATGCTTGCGTATCTCTTGAAAAATCATGTCAACCAGCCTTGTATCATGCAAGAGAACATGAAAGGCAAAGAGAATCAACCAATGTGTTTCAGCTTTTTTGTATTTCATGGATAAAAAACGGAGATAGTAAAATACAATGTTCTGTCTAAAGAATTCAGGTTTATAGATCAGGATTGTGACGATCTCGATGATCTTTTTCGTGACATCCATACTTCTCTTCGCATATTTGTACGCACTCTCGAGCAGGACGTGTCTGTTTGCAGTCTTGCTTGCAGATACTATAACATGGACAACTGTTGAACACAACATCCGCCACTTTCTTCATGACCTGGGCTGTTTTGTTCATGACCTGGACTGCTTTGTTCGTGACGTGGATCACTTTCTTCCCTTTTTGGATCCCCTTTCCCACATCTTTCAATTTAAATTTAGCTGAAACTGATGTTATACAGTAGCAAAGGACCACAATGGTAACGACCGATAACGTAAAATATAATGTTTTTGAAATGGCAACCATAATAAGCTAGATGAAACGAAACAAAGAATGTTTTGATGGTAACAGTTTCTTACTTCAATCGACTTTTCAAGGATTTGTTATCTTAAGGCTGCTGTATGAAGCTGAAGAAGACAACGCGTTATTTAAGTTACCGTTACAGTGAAACAATGAGCCTGAAAGAGGATAAAATAAAATAAACTGTAACTGAAATAAGGTGTATTTTTGAAATTATTGTCAAAAATACACCTTACTTGTAAAAATCGAAGAATATTTTGGATTAGATGGAAAAAACAACCGCTAAGTTCGACTCTAGGAAAACTGCCAACCAAATACGTTCATCGCAGCTTTCCCAAAGTTCATCATAATTCGTTCTGGATTCCATGTCGGTACCGATTCGACGATTTCGTTAATCATTTGTTGATAAATCTTTCCACTTTTGCCTGATAACAGAATAAGTGATACGGGTAATACATGCCCACGATAACTAGCATGAATTACGAATAATTGAAAAAAAATTTCTAGTTCCATCAACGAAGAAATCCTGCAAAACAAAACCATGCTCAGATAGTCAACAGTTACGTTTATGAGACTTACCGTTGCATTTTCCATTATATTCTGTTGCTCGTCGGTAAAAAATATTAATAAGCGATTTGAACCAGGGCCAGTATCTATACGGAAAAATATTGTATCACGTGTTGTTCGATGATATTTATTTGGAATAATTGGAAAGTTGATGTTTGTTGGTGTGGATACAGCGTTATCTTCTTGTCGCCAACGACGGATGTTTCGTTTCAAATTTTCATTGCTTGGTAGCTGAATATGCACTTCATCCGGAACACCGATATTTGTTTGTGTTAAAATATTATGAGGATTTGTTTGATTCTGTTGTGATTCCCCTTGTAATCGTTCATAGTACTGCCGAATTAGTCCAGAACGTGGATTTCCAGTGTGGTTTTCATGATCACCAACAGTCTTAATGAATACATTGCTTAAATCTGTATGTAATCGTCCGTGGCAGGCATATTTTCTCGCATGTTCGCACTTCCAAAATATTTTTTCATCATTTCTTCGATCAATAATATATGAAAAGTCGTTGTGAATAAGTAGTGGAGCGTTCT